CATGTAAAACAAGTTTAAAATACGACATCCCTTTCTGGCCAGCACTTCAGATGATTCTTCAACAATGTGGAAACCGAAAGCATGTTTTCAACATCAGCAACCACCAGGATAGGACTCAGGTCACAAGGCTTTTCGAGAAAATAGAGGCAATGATTGCACAAAATGCTGCTGGTCACTATTCTATTGATGCTGCTGATGGGAGTGCTCTGAGAGAGAAAATGGAAGCAATCGTTGAAAGAGCATCAAAGAGGTTTGCCGAAGTGCAGGCAAAAAGAAGGAAACTCAAAGCCCTGATTGAAGGTAAGTCAGAAATGTCTCTAAAATGCAGACAAATATGACGAAGATACCATTTATCAATAGCCTTTTGACATTACAATGCAAATGATACCTGCAAAGATACCTCACGTCCTCCTAGATTGATTTAAACTCTTTTTTTCCCTTTGAGAAGTTTCTGATTTTACTGACTTAGGTGTTTGAATAGTTAAAAAAGTCTTGATGGTCAACCTGACAATTACATAATGATGCACAAAACCTCAAGTCTGAATATCTTTTAATTCCACTTTGTCTCTAGGTGGCAAAACTCCCCCAACACATTTGAGGCTAGTGATGGTTGGTGCACAGTGGTCAGCCAAGAGCTCAGCAGGCAACACCATTCTAAGGAAATATGCATTTCCTGTTACTCACATGAGAACAACTGTGTGCTGCGAAATAAACCACAGCATGGTGGCAGATAGGCAGCTCACAGTGGTTGACTCTCCAGGCTGGTTATACAACGGCACCCTTCAGGAGCTCTCCGAGATTAATAAACTTGAAATAGAAAACAGCATGCATCTGTGCACTTCAGGACCCCACGCAGTGCTCCTTGTTGTCGGCCTGGCATCCGCGTTCAACGCAACATACCAGAAAGCGGTCCAGGAGCACATGAGTCTGTTCACGGATGAAGTCTGGAAGCACACAATTGTTCTGTTTACCAGAGGTGACTGGCTGGGAGTGAAGACTGTGGAAGAGCGCATTGAGAGTGAGAAGGGTCTGCAGTGGCTTGTGGAGAAGTGTGGGAACATGTATCATGTCTTGGATAACAAAAACCACAGTGACGAGACTCAGGTAACGGAGCTCCTTGAGAAGATTGAAGAGATGTGGGCAGGAAACAAAGATGGTCATTTTGAAGTCAACCTGGGCCGTGCTGAGCAGATGGAGGCAAGAAAAGAGGTTACAGACAAGAAGGCAAAAAGTATTCGTCAGACGGCCCAAAGACAAGCAAGAATACTCAAAGAGTTGTTTCGAGGTAATAAAAAACTGAATGTATGATTAATTTAATTATTATTACTATTTCTAATTGAAAAAAAACTCACATTTCCCAAGGGGAGACGCAGACAATCACTGACCATAAGGTTGTACTTATCGGGCCGAAAGACTCTGGGAAGGGTATGGCAGGAAACATGATCCTTTTTGAAGAGCTGTTTGGCACAGCTTGGATGAAGAAGGTAACAAACCTCTACAGGTTTTTTCGGGGGAAACATCTGATTGTTGAAGTCTGTTTTGGTTGTCATATTATTTTGTTTGGTTACTTCTATGCAGGAATTCCAAGATCAGAGAAGAACCACAATGTGTGAGAAACATGAAAGAAATGTTGCTCGACGAAACATCACCGTGGTTGAGGCACCAGGCTGGTTTGCAGACGAGATCACACCCGACTGGCTCAAGAGTGAAGTTCTGCGCAGCGTCTCAATGTGTGCTCCTGGTCCTAATGCTTTTCTCTTGGTTGTACCCATTTTCAAAACCTTTACAGAGAATGACTACAAAACAATGGTTGAGCTCTTGATGCCATTCGGTGACAGTGTCTGGAGGCACTGCATGGTGCTGTTTACCTGGGAAGACTGGCTCAAGGAAAGATCCATTGAGGAGCACATTGCCACAGAAGGCCAACACCTGGAACAGCTGGTGGAAAAGTGTGGGTACAGATATCATGCCATGAACTGCAATCCATATGGTTGTTTTGCTTTACCTATCATACAGCTGTTTGAGAAAATGTTTGACATGATAACACGAAACAAGGGCCAATACTTTGCCGCTGAAGACAAAATGGGGAACAAGCGGAAACCAACGCAGTGGCAAGAGGAGTGGAACAGGAGGGAGCAGGAGCTAATCGACAGGATGTTGAAAGCTGTTGCACAAGAACCAGAAGAACCGATCGTACCATCTATGAAGATGAACGCAAGCATGGATGGAGCCTTCACTCCGAGCAGTGAGTTTGATATTACTCAGTTAATCTAGGACATGTTTTTAAATTGTTTTAAAATGTAAGATAGACCATATGGCCTGTTACGATAATAATGTTATCGAATTATCGTATTAAATGTGGTTATTGCCTCAATAACATTTATGTTACCAACTTAACGTGCAACATATTGACCAGACCTTTATAATCTGAACACTATTAGCCTGTCGTACTGTATGTGGACATGACTTCAATCAGATTTTATGTTACCGATTTATCATACCATCAATAGACATGACCTTGATTATATTAGTGCCATTGTCTCAACCTACGATGTATCGAAATGTCTTGTAATTTTTACATTAACAACTTATCATACACTTTATTTATTTTATTTTTGCTGACGTCAATATTGTTTTGTTTACATGAGAATGGAATCATCACACATTTTAGACAACATATTGAAGGATTTTCAATATTTTGGCATTGGTCATTTTTCGTTGACATCCAGACCATTTCCAACAAAAGTAGTTACACTATTCAAATTCTGTTTTCAGTGAGTGGAGATGTTCCCATAGAAGTTGGGGGCACATTTTGGAGTCAAAGAGAATGTGCCAAAGTGACTGAATGGCTGAGCGTTAGATTTGGGGGCTCTGATGTCACCTCTGGGGTCGACAGCATGAGTATTTCAGCCAGTGATGTGGAGATGTTGGACCAAAGCCTCCTGACAGACGACAATCATCAACGAATGACAAGGTTTTTGTCAGATAAACATCAACAAAGGAAGTTAGAGTCTATTGTCCATGGCAGGGTCTTGACACACATTGAAGAAACAAAACGCAGGCACTCTTTTTAGCACACACAAGCAGGCTGGTAACTATGGTAACAAAAGAGAAAACGTGCACAGAAAGCACAGTTTTCCAAACACTGTTGGACCCTGCCAGAAACTTGGTGATTATCTAGCTGTATTACTTTCTGATGCAGCCAATACTATGTATGTTATGTTCAATGTTCATTATTTAATGTGATTATGTAATCATGTCAATGCAGAGATTATATTTTCGGGTCTTCCCTGTAACAGTGTAAAAAAGCATGTTATAGCATATCATGAATAGAAAATTTTAATTGTATGCAGAACATGAAATCATTTAAAGATTCAGAATTTCCCCCAAATATCAGTCTGGCAGGCGATACCGCAGCATCCGATTCCGGACTAACCACCAGACTCAGGGACAGTTTCATCCCACAGGCCATAAGACTATTAAAAACCTGAACTTTTGAAACAACATCCATAACATTCATCTGGCTGCAACTTAGAAATGATTTATCTAATATATCATATTCCAATCACTTGTATATAGACTCTTATTGCACTTTTTCACAATTTTACTAATTTACTATTTTTACTTATTTACTTGCACTATCTTTTCGGTTTTTCGGTTTTATTGTGTTACACTGTTGGAGGAGCCTGTGACCTAAGATTTTCATCGTCATAACTACACTATAGCTATGTACGTATGACTAATAAAAGCCTTGAACCTTAAACCTTGAACTAATTAATGGTGATATATTATTGATGGTAAAGCAATCCAGCAGAAGGCCTATCTGTTTGTTAGAAATACCCCCACCTTTGTCAGTTGCATACAATTATGTATAAAGTAATTCATCAATTTATCATACATTATTCTGAAATGGGCCATTCTATATAGGTAGGCTACTTTTTAGTTGGCTAGATACTTGATTTATGATGCTAAAACAGTTATTTTACTTTGATAACATTGAATAAAGGACCTTAACTTGTAATGAAGGATGTTTCAGTGTATTGTCATTCTGTGGTATTACTTAAGCAAAATATCTGAGTCCTTCTTTGGCCACTGTTTTTTTGTAAAGTCGTCTTTATATTAATGGACAATCATGTGTTTTGTTATGGAACTCATTTAAAAAATAAATTGTACTATTGTTGTACACTTGAATATCTGCTTGCATTTAATTCCCCTAGACTTCTGCTCTCAGAGGTGGTTTATTACTAAAACCAATAATAATTGAATGCAGAGGTAAGGTTTAATATTATAAAAAGTATATATAATATACTCTTAAAGTTACAACTAGCCAAATGAGGGCAACCATAATGCTGATGTGGCCTATGATGATCATTGGTGGAAAGTTACTAAGTACATTTACTCAAGTACTGTACTTAAGTACTTTTTTGACATTTTTGTACTTTATACTTCATCGCCACAACATTTCGGAGGTGAATATCATACTTTTTACTCCAGTACATTTATTTTAACGCTCACAGTTACTCGTTACTTTGTAAATATAAAAACACACATGCTGATATAGTATAATGCAGTAGTCCATTTAATATTAATCTCGACAGTATATTTAACATTTGGTCAAAATTGACCAGTTACACTGAAATGCTCTTAAATGTGTAAAAACATGATAGAATTAAAACCCTCATAACATACTGTGAAAAGATGCATAACGAGTACTTTCACTGTTGAAACTTGAAGTACATTTAGCTGATAATACTCCTGTAGCCTACTTTATATTATCCTGAATCAGGTCATTGAGCAGATGAGTACTTTTACTTTTTGTACTTGAATTACATTTTGATACAATTACTTTTATACTTTTACTGAAGTAGAACATTTAAATCAGGACTTTTACTTGTAGTGGAATATTTTAAGACCATAGTATTTGTACTTGTATTTTTAATATTATTACTTGTTCCAACCATAGGTTCCAACCAACACTGATGATGATAACAGATTAATGCAATCGCGAAAACACCTTACAGGCCTCCGTCGTTTATCTCCGTTGCCTTCCTGTACCCGTTATTTTTTTACTTTTCGTCCCAGTGTTGCGCAACTCCTGCTTTTCTGCTTTCTTTCCAGCACCTGTCTTCTGGTCGACATGTCGGAGTGCAATGCGGTGTCTGCAGCGGGACCCGGGGACCCTCTGGGCGGGCAGACAGCTCTCGGGAACGGGGCAAGAGGCATCCAGAAAGATGCGTTCGCGGACGCAGTGCAGCGGGCCCGGCTGGTGAGGAGGAGGGAGGTGACAGCTGAACTGGGGGAGGGCTAGCTTTCTGCTTAGCTTATGGGCTAATATTGTTTACACAGCCTGATATATACTATTGATATTCTGAATTATCATGTATTACTATTTACGAATTGTTAATAGTAGTAAAAGTAAGCTAGTAATGTATGGTCACTGCTTGTCGTACATTAGCTGAAACACTGTCTGTGTGTCCCAACAAACCCAGTATGTAAGTGACAGGGTGATAGGAAAATAAAACTTGCAAGATTAGCTTAACAATTACCTAAATTCGAGTCAATAAAAATACAACATTATGGGTTTGATGTTTATACTAACTGTGGGGGTGGTTTATATAAAACCCATGCAGGTATGATGGCAAACACCTGGTTGGCATAAAACAAGCCAAGAAAAAAAAGGCAACTTGTAAAATAACCAAAATCTAATCAACTAACTACTGTATATAGGCCTAGTCTTAATTATTTATTATGTTATTTTTGTTATGTTATTTTTAAGTGGATTTATATTTTTGTATTATTTGGGACTGTGAGAAGTGGCATTTCGATTTCCCTGTTTGTATCACACACACAGACACAGACATTGACAATAAAGTGGATTTGAGTTGACTTTAGACTTCATATTATTATAGTGGATGTCCCAGGCCAGATCAGATAGATGGACAAATTCATTTATTTATATACTTTTTACATGTTCACCTATTACTTTTGTACATTATAGTCTTGTCTATTCTTAACCTTCATATGTCTACTGAGAGCATTGCAAAAAAACAAGTCAAATTCTTTGTTTGTGTAAAAATCCTTGGCATAAAAAAGGTTATTCTCTTCCAGACCATAAGTCTGACATGCTCAGTCTCAAGTGTAGCTTATACCTGAGTTTTATCATGTTGGCACACTTGAAGGGGAGGGTAGGACAATCTGTTTTTTTACAGCTGAATTGTCATGGTTACCTTTATTCTTTCTTTTCAGATTGCAGCAAAGATTGGAGGTGATGCTGGTCCTCCTCCCATGAACAACAACACTGCATCAGATGGCTTTCCCTTCACTGCACAGAAACGCCAGCTGGAGGATGCAGGTATTGGTCACCTCGCTACTCAGTGCACAGTCTTCTTGATCCTAAGTGGGTTTATTTTATCACCCAATTGAATAATACCTTTCTTACCTGTATTGTCTGTATTGCATGCGCCTGACAGATGAACCGGAGAGTAAGAAGCTGGCTGTTCAGAGTGACTTGGATTCAGCCAATGCATTGTGTGAGTTCATCCCTCTATTCAATGTTCTGTTTCCTTTTTGCGCTGTGATGTTTAAAATATATAGCTGACACTATTTAGTAGAGACTTCCAGCTGTACTCTCTTTTTTTCTGTTTATGTCTCAGCTATTGGTGCACAACTGGCTGCTCTTGCACAACAAAGGTAAGATCTGATCATTTTCAGTTGTTTGTATGTATAAGTTTGAAGCCTTTTTATAATTTTTGCCTGATTTATTGCCTCTTTTTCCCTGATTGTCATTCTTGCCTGCTGATAGTTCCAGGCCTGCCTCCAACACAGAGGAATACAGTGTCCCGGACAGCATGGTGGGACTCAGTGAGTTCAAACCAACTCAATTTTAGCACACAAAAAGATACGCTTTGAGAGTGTGACTCACTCATAACAAAGTTGTATCTCTCTTTGTCCACAGTTATTGGCCGTGGGGGTGAACAGATCAATAAGATTCAACAGGAGTCCGGTTGCAAGGTTCAGATAGCTCCAGGTACTGCTTTACTCATCCACCGGTTTACATTTTCACTATAGTTTACCTTTTAATTTTAATATTGGTATTCTATGTGTGTGTATCCAGACAGTGGAGGCCTTCCAGACAGGAGCGTGTCTCTCACAGGTTCCCAAGACTCCATACAGTAAGTATCAGACCTTATGAAAATAGGCTCACTTTTGTTTTGTTTATGTTACGTCTTACGTATGATGTTGGTTGCCCTGTGTATTTGTCAAATTTGTCCAAAAAAACCTGGCAAGAACATTGCTTAAAAATTAGATTGTTGTCACTGATTTTATGTGACCCTGACTGCCATGAAAGGAGCCAATTAATAAACCATTTTGATTAATGTATCAAATTAATTCAAAAATAATGTCTGGCCAAGCTTTATATAAATTAGGCACTTAGTTTGAAGCCCTACGATGCTATTTGTAAATGGTTAACCTGTACAGACCTTAATTGCTTACTGTCAATGGCCGTTAGATCAGCTTGATTACAACATTTTGTAAAAAGGACGCAGAGTAACTGGTCAGCTCTTCCCTGGATAGGGATGCCCGGAGGCTTTTGGACGAGATCGTGTCTCGAGGGAGGGGTACGCCCCCTTCTTCTTATCACGAGTCCACCAACGGGCAGAGCGGCACGGTGCACGAGATGATGATCCCAGCAGGCAAGGCTGGGCTGGTCATTGGAAAGGGAGGAGAGACTATCAAACAGCTGCAGGTAAACTGCATTTTAGAAACTGTAACTACATTAAAGCATACTCCAGTATTCAATCATGATAATGCACAATCGCGTGAAATCCAGGAGCGTGCAGGGGTGAAGATGATTCTGATCCAGGATGTCTCTCAGGGACCCAACGTCGACAAGCCCCTACGCATCATCGGAGATCCCTACAAAGTCCAAGTACATTTATATAATCTTCTCATAAATGTCAACATAAATCTGTTGTGTCCAGTTGCCATGTAATGTCATCATCGTGTTTTCCTTTTCAGCAAGCCCAGGAGATGGTGCAGGACATTCTGAGGGAGAGGGACCACGGTGGCTTCAATGAAAGAAATGACTTCAGCGCCCGGATGGGAGGAGGCATGGATGTGAGTTTGTGTGAGACGGAGCAAAATAAGAAGTGGGATAAGTTGCCATTGAACCAAATTGGTTTTAAAAAACGTCTGTTTTCCACATAGATTCCTATACCAAGACACTCAGTCGGTGTGGTTATCGGGCGCAATGGAGAGATGATCAAGAAAATCCAGAATGATGCCGGAGTTAGGATACAGTTCAAACAAGGTAGGAGTCAGGCCTTGAATTGACTTTAATGATTAATATGTTGATGTTGCATTAACCGCACATAAACGTTCTAATCAATGTCAAGAGAACATGAAAGTTTGATGCCGATTAATAAAAAAGGCACCTTCTTGGCTCTCATTGTCCCTATACTTTTTTGTCTTTTAACGAATGATAAATGTAAATGAAAGACGTAGTGTCTTTATTTCACCAGAGCAATTACCTTGTCCCTTTTCTGTAAAAAGGGTTTACAGACAGCTGCTTGCATTGTGATGTTGCCCAATATCTGCTGAATCAGGCAAATCTCTCACTTTGGTTGCAAATCTGGTGTCATCTTGCTCTCTCTTTTTTATTGACTTAACATCCATTATTGTGTTGAACTGATTTTTCAATAATAGAGCAGGTAGACTTTACCTGGCCTGTGTGAGGTTTTGAGTTGAGGCACTTAAATTGACCCTTCCACATAGGTCATTTGATAAAAATAAAAAAAAGAATACAGCTAAATGCAGATTTCAATCTTTCCTACAGATGATGGGACTGGTCCAGATAAGATCGCACACATCAGTGGCCCCCCTGACTGCTGCGACCACGCTTCTCAGATCATCAACGACCTGCTGCAGAGCATCAGGGTCCGGGATGAGGGACAGGGGGTAAATGTAATAAAGTATATTCCCAATCAATTGTGCATAATAGTAAACGTATGGCAGCAAGATGTAATAATCCTTAAGCATGCTTGCTAAAATACTGAGGCTTTCTCTCCGCTCCAACCACAGGGTCCCCCAGGTCCTCCAGGCATGCCTGCAGGCAACAGGGGTCGAGGTGGGGGTCAAGGCGGCTGGGGGCCCCCTGGAGGGGAAATGACCTTCTCTATTCCTGCCCACAAGTGTGGACTTGTGATTGGCCGGGGAGGAGAGAACATTAAATCCATCAACCAGCAGACAGGGGCCTTTGTAGAAATCTGCCGACAACCGCCCCCCAACGGAGACCCCAACTTCAAGATCTTTATCATCCGGGGCTCGCCGCAGCAGATCGACCACGCCAAGCAGCTCATCGAGGAGAAGATTGAGGTACTTTCTATTTTAATTTTTACTTACAGATAGGTAAATATGTCGGTTCTTCTTTATTTGATGTGGGATTAATTAACATGTTTCAGATCCCCCTGTGTCCTGTGGGCCCGGGGCCAGGTGGACCAGGTCCTGGAGGTCCAATGGGTCCCTACAACCCTGACCCATACAACCCTGGACCGCCTGGGGTGCCCGGACCACCACAGTGAGTAACAAGGACTATCATACAACTGTTTGTAAAGCTTCAGATATTAAAGTTATCCGTAGCTACAACATGATTCTGTTCACTGGATTACAGAGAGGCCATGTATGAAATCCGTGCAAATAAGCGAGGGGGCATGTTACCAGACTGAGAAGTAGCTGATTTTTATTCTGCAGCTGCATAAGAGATCAGTGGTGGTTTTATGTGCTGAAATCTCATGAATGAACCATTTTTGCTATTTGTTTAGCAGCCACCAAAGGCTAATGTTGTGGCTTCCTCTTTAACTTGTTTTAATCAATTGTTGATGGAAAATATAACCTGAAAAAACATTTTGGTCAGAAGACTTAGTTTTCTTCTAAATCCAATAGTTTGTATAGTTGCATTTCAGAGTATCATTTGTTTCCCTATCATGTCATAGTGATGCCAACCATTGCTCTTCTCCTCAGTGGTGGTCCTCCAGGTCCTCACCAGTACCCCCCTCAGGGCTGGAGCAACACCTACCAGCAGTGGCAGCCCCAGGCCCCCCATGACCCCAGTGAGTCACCGTTGACTTCACTGCCTCTCCTGGTTTTGGGGGATCATTGTTTATTTTATGCTCTTTTTAGCATGTTGGCTGCTACAGTGCTTTCATCCCAGGCTATACGTTTTAACCGTCCTATTTTCAGATGAGTAATGCCTTTTTGTTTTCTAAGTCTAGGAAGGTGAACAGGAGTACTGATGGTAATGTTGTGATGAGATGTCTTGACGTTGAGCAGCAGCTAACCGTGTCTCTGTTTCCCCCCTGGTCTCCAAGCCCGGTCTCCAGGCCAGTAGCAGGACCTCACCCCCTCCACCCTGCATCTTTTCTAGGCAAGGCAGCAGCCAATGACCCCAACGCAGCCTGGGCGGCCTACTACGCTCAGTACTACCATCAGCCGCCAGGGGGGGGTCCAGCCCAGAACCCCGCTACCCCGGCAGGAGGAGGGGCCCAACCTTCAGGGGAGCAGACCCAGCCTGCACAGACGCCCGGGGGCCAACCAGACTACAGCAAGGCCTGGGAGGAGTACTACAAGCAGATGGGTGAGGCCGCAGAACAACTCCCTCTGGAGCTTTACCTGCTTTTCTATTGCTGCTGAAATGTTCTGCTGCTTTAAACCAGTCATCATCAACTTCAGCCGGTAGACTAAATACATAATGTTAATGGGTTTTATGTAACCCATACAACTTAGAAGGAATTCATTTTGTTAGGGATGATTGACCAACACCAAATGTGGGTGTTTGACCCATTTTAACATTTGTCAGCTATTTATAAGCGACTAGCCCAGACAACCCATAGCAGTAGTCAGGCCAAGACAGGTGAAGCTCTAATTTCTTCACATGCTCAAATGGAACTTTTTACCTAACTCACTTTGGTTAAACAGTGAAAATATTAAACATTAATAGAATAAATCTGAATCTTATTCTTGGACAAATGTAGTTGATAATATCCCCCAAAACAATTGGTTGTTCAGCAGTGACATACAAAATACAAGATAAAACCACAAAAGCACATGAACACATCATAAAAATAACAATAAACTAAAATAATATCCATGATATCCATTTTATTTTTGAAAATGAAATAATTTATAATCTATGTATAATGTAAAAAAAAATGTTTGGTTCATCTTTTGCAGTATTTTATATATTACATTTCTGATTTGTGTTGCTTAGCATTAGTATGCATCGAGTTGGTTTAAGTAAGATATATTTAGTCACTTAAACATCAAAACCTGATCAGAGATAATACGTGTTGATTTGTTGTTTCCTCAGGTGAACTTGTTCTTAAAGTGGAAGTGACTGTTATGGTGATGTGTCTCTTTTATCCCTCCTCCAGGCCAGGCAGGCGGCTCTGCCCCTGCTGCACCTGAAGGAGCAGCGGTGGGGGCAGTGTCCACAGCGGGGGGGGAGCCGGACTACAGCGATGCCTGGGCGGAGTACTACCGGCTGCAGGCGTCGTACTACGGACAGACCGGACAGGCGGCCGGACAGCCAGCCGCTCCACAGCAGGGACAGGTCGGTACAGAGCGAGGCTTTCATCCTGTTTCTGTGTCCGTCAGTCGCATCTGACAAAGAGGTTTGCTTTCAATCCATCTGAAGTAAATACATTATTTTCTAAAATACAACGGATGTGCTTCCTTTCAACTGTTTGTATTTTAGACGCAGTGATGGCAGAAGGAATCAGGAAGACAGGATGAAGAAGACGAACCCGAATTTAAGTCCAGGATCCAGCCTGTTTATTTAGAGTGGAAGTGAAACCCTTCCTCACCACCGAACCACACGTGGAAACTTCCCAAATCAACATTGTCAACTGAACAAGCTTTCCAGTGCTTTGCAGCTGAGGCTGAAGGACTGATATCCCGCCACACAGGTTCTCAATACCTTTAAATATATTTTATGAATGCCATGATATATATGGAAGCCTTGAAATGCTTTCTTTACTGCAGAGGAGTTGCTTTTAAATATATATAATCATCCTCGTCTCCCTAGCTATCAGGTCTTATATCTTATTGTGTATCAGGTAATAATACATCAGTCATCCCTTTTGTAAAGCTCATTTGATTTGCCCATTCTTTTTAATTGAATTATTTGACTCTTCTTGATTTAGCTAAGACTTTATTGGTATTTCTACATTTTGATTATTTTTCATTTGCTTATGAATGTGTTCATATGCAGCATTTTGTAAGCCAGTTATAAAGTATACAAATTGATTTGTAGTGTTGATTGGTGCATGTGGACTCACTATTCATTGCTGAAAGCTGCTAGATATAGATGACGAAAACATCCCCCCTTTATCTGCTAAGGACATGCAAGTTATGTGAAATAGTTTTAAATAGGGAGCCTCGATGACAGGTACTAGACTTAGTCCTGGAGTCCTTGAAGTTTGAAGGACAACGTTGTATAATGGCTCGTAGGTTGCAGGATTTATGGGCCGCACATCAGGTTATGCATCTTTGTTATGGCCTTCCCTGCCATTAACACCCACCAGACCTTTTCAAACTAACATACTGGGTGTGGGCATTCACCTTGAGGCAACTGCCTACCTCATCCTAATTTGGAGCTCCTGACACCCTCTGTAGTTTTCATATCTTCTACAATAGTGTTATGTAAGGCTAAATTCACCTCACATTTGCATCATGCTGTGATTTTAATGCACGTTTTATACTTACTTTTCTCATGGATGCCAACGAGTATGTTTAAATCTTTTACCCTTCATTGTGTGTAACGGAATGAAATGTAGTCTTCCAATGTGTCTCACTTGAAGATATACATGTACATATATTCAGCAATATAAGGCTGTCGGTTTGGACTTACAGAGATGTATCAGGTATGAATCTTGTATTTTGAATGGCAGCTTTGACGCAGTGTTGATATTGTTAATAGATGACCACCAGCAGCAATACTCTGAATTAAAATGGGGCAGATGTTGATTACTTTAAAGTGTGTGTTGAACATTTTGTTGTCATGTTTTTTACAAACGGTATGCACTTAAAACATTGCCAACTGTTAGCAGATATAACTAAATCACATTTGAGACGAATCACCACTAGATGTCACTGTTAGCTTTTCTAAGAATAATCAAGTGTTACTAAATAGATGAAACCCATTTTCAGAGGAAAATATTTGAAAGATCTCGTTTTAAACTGAATTTGCAACATTTTGAGTTTTCACACACTTACAATCAACAACACTTTTGATCTTTTACCGTCTAAGGACATGCTTGTGGTTTCTGTTCCTGTAACTCTTTGTACTTTGCAGCAAAAGTGTGTGAGAGTCTGAGACAGGAAGTCAGTTTATGAAATCTTTGAGCCACAAAGATTATAAAAACTGATGATCTGAGACATATGACTGTAGTTACTGTTCAACAAAGACACTTTCGTTAAACTAAAAGGAAACAATTACAGTATCTACAAGAGTGCAATTTTAAAAATTCTTTAATTTATATCTTTAAAATGAAAAACATCTGAATTGCATTCTACCACCTCCAAAGGCACAGTCATACTTATAGCAGACCAAATTCATAAAACACTGCCACTGAACATCTTTTTTTCTCAATTGTTTTGTACATAAGAAACAATGCACTATAAAAATGACTGAACATTTTCTTACTAAACAATGGCCATTCTATTTGCTGTAGATGATATGCACTCAGCTGTGGTAACGTTAGACTTGTATATAAAGGTTGATGTGCTGGTTTGAGGCTGGCGATGCTTGTCGAAAACATGAACATCGCAGCTATTTAAAGACATTGTATTCAAAAATCCAAAAATGACAACCAATCATGACGAACAGTGTTTAAGAATATGGATGTTTGAAGCAAAACAAAGCCATTGGCAGGAGGGCGGAAATGCAGCGAGATGAAAGCACAGTGGAGGGAGATGAGTGTCGGTGGAGGACTGTGCAGAAAGCAGATCTCACCTCTCACCACAGATGTTCGTACGAGACGTTTCCACGACATCTGACACCTTCACCCCACCATTAAAGAAATACACTTAAGACTTCAAAGAAAGTGGAAAACATTTCAGATAACTCTGTCTGAGTTTTCAAGACAATAGTCGATATGTGCAAAGAGGCAGGGCCTTAGCCTGTTTGTGGAGAAAAGCCATCAGATATGATAGAGGATTAATAACTAAACTTACAATCACAAATTAAGAAAGCACACAAAGGTTGCTTACAATGTGTGACATCACAGCACCATACACTGCACAAGAGGTTCACTTAGTGACAACAAAATTCAAAATAGTGAATAAATATACATCAGAATATTAGAATATATCAGCGTTCTTACTCAGGCACAGTCCCCCTTAAAACAAAGACGGATCATTTTAAAACAATGGGAACAAAGCAAAGGTTTGGCACACATGGAAAAGAGAAATAAGGCAGGAGAATGAGGCCATAGAGGAACTTATTGGATGAAAAGGAATGAAGTACTTAAAACATATAAATATGACACATACATACAGTACCTCTTCTCGTGGAGCCACATGTTCAATAAAAAAGAGGATATTTTTGCAGCAACTAATGGGAGCCCCGATGCCACAGCCGTAGATTTTTCTTTACAAGTGTGAGTAGCAGCTGCGACAGGCACTCCAAGAACACAAGAAGGTTTTTTTTCTTTACAGGCAAATGAAATAAAACAGGTACTATTCACACTTCTCCCAAATGAACACCTTGGTGCCTTAAAAAATATATATATATACAGAGGAAACAGTCAACAATTGGCATGACTCACAATCACACAACCAGACACACACCATCATAGAAAAGCATGTTCAGTCAGCCTCCGGAAGCAACAGCAGAGCAGTGTGACCCCCAGTGCTCCAACACAAACAAACAAATATCCCAACCTCCCGCTGTCTCTCACAGATGTCCCTTTTTACGAACTAAATGTAGCAATCGTTCACTGTTTAAGGTCGGCTTTGCACCCTCCTCCTGTAGAGATTACCTTTACACACGCACACACGCATCACAGTATTTCCAAGACCACTTTGATACGGCAGTGACAGTTTCAGGAGGTGAGCGGATGTTTTGAGTTAGGAGACAGCGAGGCTACAGGTTGCAATGCAAGGAGAGAGAACGAAAAAAAACATGCCTGGCATTTGTACAGGTCAATACAACTGAGGGTTAACACATGCTCTGTGTTGCTGTCTATGGAAGCCCATTCATGTCAATGTGATAAAAAAAAAAAATTCCTCATTATCAGAAACTTCCTGAAAAACAATGACAAAGTATATTTAAAATATGACTTGGTTGAGATAGTATCTCAGAATAATAATTAAGTATTTCACCATAATGACATACTATCGCTAAATACTAAAAATGGTATCGCAATACCATGTCATAGTATCACTAATAGTAAGAAAAGGTCAGAGAAGGTTTCTTCTTCTTATTATTATTATTATTATTTCTTTTTATCTTATTATTCTGAGATACCAAGTCATTATTTGGAGATTTTTTTGTTGAGAGACTGACTATGAGGGTCTTTTTATTTCATCACATTGGCTCTCTGGGTTTTGAAGACACGTCCTATTGCGGTGCCAACGATTGTGAATCGGGTCAATGGTGCCAACAGGTGGTTCTGCCATTCAGGCAACAGCAGTACTGAATGTTTTGATTGTGTGTGTGTGTGTGTGTGTGTGTGTGCGTAACCATTTACAGAATGCAGCGAGAGTGCGCACACACATTTACAAGATCTATATACATGTGTGGAGTGTATAAATTAGTGGTTTTTGTACATCTGTGTGTGCTAGTGTGTGTGAGTGTGAGTGTGTGTGCATATTCACTACGATCGGCCCCAGCTAGTTGTGTGACTGTGTGCTCAGTCGTCAGCTGATCCGGTGCTGAACAGGACTGTCTGGTCCATTCGGGCCAGCTTGGCAGGCGGCTCCAGAGACTCGTCTCCTAGCACCCCCCCGTCTGAAGGAAGGGACAGCTCCTGACCTTCATCATCACTCTCCTCCTCCTCTTCCTCTTCCTCTTCTGGGATGGACAAAGGGAATTGAGTTAGTTATTAACAAAGCTTGAGATTTGACGTAGGGCTGATCTGAATAGATCAAATGTTTAGGAGCTTTGTTTTTTATTGGCACTGTTTCCGATAGAGAGTAGGCAGCTCTAATATTAGTATTTGCTATTTTTAAAATGTTACTCCAGTGGTGGCTGCATAGGGTTGTTTCTGACATGTGTGATTCAAACATTTCAAAAGAGCAAAGCACATCCAAAAGTCAACATTTATTTAAAAAATAAGGTAGATGTGAAATTCACAACATGTTTTTTACCTAGACAAATATTATGCTTTAAATATATTGGTTGATGTTTAGACTTTAAAATATCACAAAGGGAGGCATGCACCTGTATTGCGTTCTAGCAGCAACCGAACTGTAATAAATCAAATAAATATATTAAATATAAATATAAAAAATGTTGTGTATTTACCTTTGTCAGGATCCAGCTGGTTGAGCCCCCGGCCTAAACTGGCAAACTAATGGCAGAGGGGAAATGTGTTAGTACTATTTACATGGCTTATATTATTTATTTACATTAGAATTAGAAGCATCTATTATCATATACAAGTACAATGAGAAGAGTAAAGCTACTCCTTTTAAGGTGCCATCAAAACATTCAGAATAGACAACATACAACAAAGACACGCAGCATTCATATATACATAAAATAATAACAAAATAAAGTGCAGGAAATAATTCAATTAGTAGAGTATAGTAAATATGTATGTGTGGATGATACATTATATATATTGGACTTGTGGGTTGTTGCACAGGGGAGGAAGACTAGTGCAAGAGTTCAGTGCCATGATTGCTCTGGGGAAGAAACTGTCTTTGAGTCTGTTTGTATTTATTTCATGTTTTTGTGTTTGTGCGCTTTGGTACCTCTCCCATGACAGCGATGGGGGTCTCTCCTTTAGCCTGGGCCACTCTGTGCTCTATCAGGTAGTACATGTACTCATCGTACAGCAGGCGGATCAGGTGAAAGGAGCCGAAACTGGCTGCGCTCCTCAGGGTCAGATCTCTGATCACCATGGAGCTGGAGAACAGAGACAGGAGATTTAAGTTATCGGTACACCATATCACTTCTTCTTCTTCTCAACCACAAACGGGAAGTGTGTCTTAGGGTTTCACTATGATCAAGTTCAGAGAATAAGAGACGGAGAGAGATAAACAAGTTCTTAACTGCTCTTTTACAACTAATGTTGGAACAATTAATATCCAGTCTTCCCGTATTTGCCAGAAATGCATTCCTATATGGAAGATACAACTGATTTTTAGTTTGGACAGACGGGTACAGAGTCGTTATCATCATACCAAACAAGTCACTATCGTAGTTCTTAGTTCACTATATATCTACAGTACTTATTAAGCTATAAACAAATATATACAAAAACATTTATAGAGCGTGCAGCCAGTGGAATTTAAAATCAAAATACTCTAAACATTCAGGAGCAGATATCGTGAAGTTTTTCATCGAGGTGGTGAAAAAAGATGTAATTGTTTTTGGACGAGTCGACTGCAGCCCTGCATCTCTCTCTCTCTTTCTGTGCATGTTTTACTTTGAGTCTGGTTTTGGTCACCTGATTACCTCATGACTCCCTACGGCTGATAAATGTGACAAACACAGATTTTCATCTTCAATGAGCAGCAGAGGATCTTGTCACCTACACTACACAAGACAACACAGTGGAATATAAATGTCCAACGTCTCCCACCTGTAAAAGGACCACTTGAGCAGGAAGAGCTTGGCGGCTTTGGGGAAGGCGGGGCTCTGCTGGTAGGGCTTCAGGACCTGGGAGACCACCCCGTCCAGCCACGCTGCCCACTGCTCCAGGGAGTTCTGCTGCTGCAGGGTCAGCTTGAAGTCCTGCTCCAGCCGCTGCACCACGCGGTCCTCACACCGGCACACCCAGGAAGCCTGCTCCTGCACGGGGGGGGACACACGTTACTGTGCATGGTAGTCACACACCTGGCACTAGTTGTCTTAAGAGAGCAGCAGGGTGACCTGATCTTTCGACTCAGGTTAAAGTCCTTGGGTGTTTCTCAATATCGAGGACGCTTCCTTGGTAGGACATGTCTTCCGAGTCACTTCCTTCAGAAGCGAGGCAAGAATCCTTCCTAGCCTCGGGAAAACGAAGAATGGTGGAACAGGCTAACAGGTGTGCAGGTGTGGGTCATATGCGAGGCCCCGCCTTAAATG